GGTTGCTAGGTGCTTGGAAGTCTAATAAGTATGGCAACTCTATTATGGATATATAATTCCAAACGATATTTTTTGCTGTATCAGTCCTTCATTTGCAGAAAATACTTTCCGATTTATTACAATAACGAAAAAAAAAATAAAATAAATTACAAAATATTCTTTAGGTCTATTCCAATACCTAACACTATTGTAATTAAATTTCAGTTGACAGCCTCTATTATTTCAGTGAGAATTGAGTGCATCTTGAAAGTACTCGAGTGCTTCACAGAAAGTTTATGTCTGCACCAGCCTGTAGACACTATCTCACTAGGTTATGTGGAAAAGTGAAATATTATAATTAATTTAATTTGTTTCTTTTCGACTTTATCTGGCACGAAAAGGAGAAACACGATTTCAAATTGCTGAGAACTCAGAGACTGGCGAAAAGAGCATAATTTTTAATAATTGCGTTTTTTATCTAATACTTATTATCCAATGCTTAACTACAATAATACATCTTATGTCATTCCTACCTGAGATAAAATTTAACTAATATAGTATACAATCTGAATAATATTTTTGTAATATTGAGAATAACCCGTGAATTATTGATCGGATTGTTATTAATTATATGTCAAACATTTGATGCTATTAAAAATAAATTAAAATTGAATGTAAAAGCATTTTTTTGCAATTTACTGAAAGAAATCGACTTTTTTATATTCAATATCATTTAATTACCACGATCTTTCAAATTTGCATTATCAACAATTTCGCGTCATATTTGTTTGCTCTAGGGCACAGCCTTGTCAGTCTGCTGGGTCGTATAGGTCTACCTCGTCGTGTCATTGCCTGGTGGTTGCATTGCAAGATGGCGGAACTGTAGTGAGTATTTCCCCCGTTACTTACTTCAGTAGTTTGTGGCAGGTTTTGAATGTAGTGTTTGTTGTACCAGCTCAGAAAGGTATCGTTTAGACTACCGACGGTATAAGATATACATACAAGTTTTCGCGCAGTTAAGTTATATTACATTCGAAATAGAGTTGTTCTGGTGATGAGAAACCAAGCCGTTAGAACTTCCAACGAAATGTATCAAGATGATTCTCAACGATCACGTTACTGTTAACGGAAAAATACATATTATTCTATCAAATATTGCAATTGGTTTTAAATATGTACATGTTTAATTTCACCCCAAATATCAGGCATCATCTTTGTGTTCATAATTTAATATGGTCGACTCTCTTGAAATCTGTATGGCAATAATTTTGAACAGTACCTTACAGCACAACTTGAACAATTAATCTTCTTTTGCTTCAGACTGCGTAGTCGCTACGCAAAAGTACGCACATTACTGTCTGTATTGCATATTTAAAGGTTTCTGCTTTATTGTTACCATGTCAGGACGTTTCCGCTGTTGTCTTCTTAGCCTCGGGAGTTCTGACGCCACGTGACAAATGATAGAAGCCACCACTGCTGCTTTTGAAGTTTCCATAACATGTTGAATGCAGGTTCTCTCTTCGTCACTTTTGTGACGCCATCCTAAATGCCACTGGTGTTGTCTCTGACATCAAAGTAGCTATTGTGAGCGGAGTAATCTACTTTCAGACATTCATGAGTTCTGTGAGGATGATTCTATTGCTTCTCTGTTGCGAGTCAATGTAGGCTATGCACAGGGGTTAAAAAATATACGAGCGAATATGACAATATTTTTAGTGAAGGTGGACATTTTTGAAGTAACTGTGACTGTCTTTTATAAACTGTCTTAAAACGATGTAAGAGTTTCTTGATATTAAAAATGCAATGGAATTTAATATACTACGATGCACGAATGATAAGTATATATTAATATAAACTATTATTCCGTTATTGATATATATTTTCAAATTTCAATTTAAAGAATCAGATTTGTTGGAAAACTGTGACATAAAATAAAGGTAAAAATTGATGAACATTTGGTATATTTTTTCACACTTTCTTCACATCGTTTCGGAGATAAAAATGCGTCTCTATCCTTGAGTATATATGAGTTAAAGGTATACGGTTTAAAGCATAAAT